TTTGAAATAAACGAAAAATGAAAATTAGTTAGATTATAAGATAAGAAAAGGAAAAGAGAAAGATTTGACTGTTTATTCACCATCTATTTACTAAAAAAAAAATTGTACTTATTTGAAAAGTGAGAACCTACCAAGTGAAAAATTGAATTTATCAAATTATTCATTAAATTTATAAATACACATATAAAGGAAATAATATATTTAATAAAGATAATAACAATAAAATAAATAAAAATATGTTAAATATTGGTCGTTTAAATTAATGGTCACAAATAGGGGTGTACAAGTCAAACTGAACTGACAAACCAAATCAAATCGGAAAAAAAAAATCGATTTGTGGTTTGGTTTGGCGGTTGAAAAAAAAAACAACCACTCTTGGTTTGGTTTGGTATTAAAAGAAAAAAAATCAAACCGAACCCAAACCAAACCGACATAATATATATATATTTGTTAATATATTTTTAGTTAGTTTATAGTTTTCAATGTTTATATATTTTATTTCAAATTTGGGCTTGTAAAATTTTGTAAATATTATATATATAATTTTGTTTTATTTATAGATAAAAAAAATATTATTTATAATCTACTTTGTTAATACATTTTTAGTTAGTTTATAGTTTTCAATGTTTATATATTTTATTTCAAATTTGGGCTTGTAAGATTTTGTAAATATTATATATATAATTTTATTTTATTTATAGATAAAAAATATTATTTATAATCTACTTTGTTAATATATTTTTAGTTAGTTTATAGTTTTCAATGTTTATATATTTTATTTCATTGGGATTTGTAAAATTTGTAAATATTTTATTTTGTATTAAGATTTGAAGTTATAATTATATTGTTATAGTTTTTCAAATTCAATGTTAACAATTTATTTTGTAAATATTTCGTTTTGTATTCAGTTTGACTGTATCCTTTAATCTTATTAAGAACGTTGATATTTCAAAAAAAAAAATTGTACTTATGTGAATTTTACTGTGTTTACGAAAATTTCTATTCATTTAACATTTCTTAAGTTTAGCTTATCACACAGATAAGTGAAAATATATTTGATCTCTTTTTCAAACATCGTATAGTTGTAAAAAATCGAAAAATCGAAAGAACCGACTAAAACCAAAATCGAAAAAACCAACTTTGTGTGGTTTGATTTGGTTTTTAGATTTAATAAACCGACATAATTGGTTTAGGTTTTTTTTAATGAAAAACCAAACTAAACCGACCTATGTACACCCCTAGTCACAAATATAAAAGATGTATTAGAGAAGGGTCAAACTCATATGTGGCCCCCTTGGCACTAAGTTTCACTTACACACCTCAACTGAGTGATGTTCATTTTAGATACCTCATGTAGTGTCCCGTTGTGTCATTTTAACACTTTTTGCTGACATGTCAAGGTGAGTGTGATACACTCAACAATAGAGCGCGAAAGACTCAATTTAGCTATTTTTTAATTTTATTTTATCTTCTTCTTTTCCATTTTTCAAGCTACCACCTCCCACCATTTTTTGAAGCTTAAACTCCTTCAATGGAGGTCGAATTTTTTATTCAAATCTATTTTCAAGTCATTTTTTTCTTCTTAATTGTATAACTTTTCTTAATCTACAATCACCCCCCCTCCACCTTTTTTACCGAAAAAATGGATACCAACACTCATATTTCATATTTATTTTCTTTCTTTCTTCCTCACCCTCTTTTCTTCCCACAAAACAACACTAAAAAAAAGAAGATCCGAAACAATTTAAAAAGTTGATAAAAGAAATAAAAAAATTGTTGGGTGTAGTAGAGAAGACAACTACCTTCGGGGAGGGAGGAGGTTCAAATTGATTTTTTTAGAATAATATTTTTATTTTATTTACTAAATAAATTTTAAAATAATTTTTAACTTAAAATTACACATGTAATCATTTAATTGATTGTTTGTCACATCATCAACGAGTATATTACATTCTCCTTCAACTTTTTGCTTATTGTCAAACAAATGTCAAAATGACATAGCGGGACCATATATAAGGTGTCCAAAATAAATATCATCCAATTAAGATGTCTAAATGAAATTTAGTACCAACTTTAAAGAGTCGCTAATGAATTTGCTCTTAAAGAAAACTTGCTTATGTCATGGTTTAGTAAGAGATGGATGCATGGAGACGATGTCCGAAGAATATACAAAGACTCAAGAAATTAATCCTTTTAGGAATGTAGCCTTCGGAAAAGGTTTAGGGGAAAGCGTTTATGCCCTTGATGACATGGAAGAAATGACAAAAGACACGGTGGCAATGGTACATTTGCCGAGACAAACTCGTATAGATTTGAGCGGTCAAATACATATGCAGACCCTTAAATTTGTACTTAAATTTCATTTTGACACTGCAACTCAACCTTGTTCCACTCCAATTTTTATATTCTATTTAGACATTTTTTTCCAAAGAATCAATAAAGTGGGATGTGTGTACTTCACACTCCATGGCATACCACAAAAGCCAATTAAAAACACATACACAACTCCTCTAACTTTCCCCCATTTTTCATTTTGACATGCTAACTTAGTCTTGTTCCATTTTAATCCTTCACCTCTATTTCATATAGTACCATTTAAATAGAAAATATTAAATTTATGATTTCTTCATTTTTTTTATTTATGTTCTTAATTTCCACTTTTTCATTTTAAAAATCAACGTCATATCTTTTTTTTTATTAAAAATAAAATAAAATAATGGATGAACATCAATTTTTTAAAAAAATATTTTTTATAGAGTTTTTGTACATTATTGTGTGAAAAAATAATCGACGAAAGTGAGTTGGTTTTCTTTTTAAATTAATTAATTAAATTAAATAACACCACATATTTTTTTCATATCTAGTCTATTTGGACTAACTTAAACACCATCTTTCTAATTTTTCATTCAACTAAATACAATTAAAAAAAAAAACTCATGCTCATTGCTAATTAATAAGACTATAAAAAATGTTGAAACTCGATAGACTTCATTAGGTTGTCATTGATTTTCTTAAGAAAGAAAATCGACGCACTTTCGTTGGTTATTTTTCACACAAAAATACATGAAAACTCTCAAAAAGAAATTGTTACTTTTTAAAAAAAAAAATCAATTATCATCCGTCAATTTAAATTTTTTACAATAACTAACGGATGAACGCCGATTTTTAAAATACAAAATTGCAGTTGAAGAGCATATATAGAAATAAAGAAATCATAAAATTAATATTTTGTGTTTAAATAGTTACATAAAAAAAATAGAGTTGAAAGGTTAATCTTTTATTATTATTTTTAAAAATATATTTTTTGGTCTTTCACTCTCTTAGAGAAAGTGTGATGCACACACTCTGTCACATCACTTAAAAGTGCCTAAATGGAACATAAAAATTGGAGTTGAAGAGTTAAAATGAAACAAGATTGAGTTAAAATGCTAAAATGGGACAAATTTAAGAATTTGCATGTGTTTGACCATTTGAGCATGACAGAAATATTTGATGGTATATCCACATACAAAACCGTTTACTTTCGTACTAGGATTATGGTGGAATTTTTTTATTGTTTACAATAACCTATTAATAGTTTACTTTATTCATTTTTTGAGACATTCTGATTTCAAATAATATAATGACAATATAACAACAACATACTATTTTCTGGAGTTTCAAGTTTACTTCGATTTTGATTTGAATGTTTGCTTCATATATTCATACGAGGATGCGACTCGAAGTTGAGGCTAGAGCTTCTTGACATGCTTGCAAACATTCTAAGTGCAAAAAAAAAAAATAGCTTTTAAGTTAAAAATAAAAAATCAAACTGAAATGATTTTTAAGTCAAAAAATAAAAAGTAGGGGAAGACCTATTTTTGATTTCAGACTTATTTTAAGTCATTTTTGATTTATTTTAAGCCATTTTTTACCTTGCCAAACACTTCATAACTTATTTTAAGTTATTTTTTATATTTGTCAAAAATTGACTTAAAAGTAGGTTTGACCAACTTTAAGTCAATCCAAACGGGTACTAAGACGTGTGTTCTTGACCTCATATAAATTAAACTTTACTATTTTAAAGATAAACAATTTAGCACCCATGCACCATGAATTCAGAACGAAATATATGTTGGTTTAACTTTTCTCATGCTAGCTTAGTTAGTTCTTGTTTCTCAGGAATTTGCAATGACGAAAAGAGAATAAACGACTTAGACAATAATACCATACATACACTTAGACAAGACAAGATTTTTGTATCAAAAAACATGTCTGCTCAAAGTGAGGGCATATTAGAGTTTTGACAGAATTGTCAATCAATCCTGCCTTCTTTTCCAACAGTCATTGTTTTACCGTCTTCTTCCACCTTCTCTTTTCTCAAGCATAAAAATAATAGAGATGATTGTGAGGTAAATATATATCATCTCTATTTTCTTTTTCTTTGTTTTGTTGCTTTCCGCTTTAAATTTATTCGTTTGTTTGTTTTCCCACCTCTGTTTCTACATGTATGCTTGAGAGTATTGGATGTTGTCACTTAGAGCTTTCAGTAGCTGTTTATATATATGGTATGGAGATTTTGAATATAGCCAAGTCTAACCCTATCAAAGCAGTCTGTCTCACCTTGAACCAACCAATAGAAGACCTTGAAGGGAGCTATATATCTGAATGATGAAACGATAATTGTTATTATAAGAGGTAGGTAATCATTTCAATTACCTATAATCATTTGAATGGTGTGTCTGCCTGTCCATCAATCTATGTGCCTAAACCCTTGTGAAAAAGACTGAGCACTTGATGATTACAAACTTCTCGCTTCATCTTGTACTCATTTAATTTACGATTTGAATAATAAATTAATTTCACCCTTCACGTTGGTATATTTATGGATTCACAAAACTGACTTACAATAAAAGGTTAAAAGAAAAACTCAAAATCCGCTCATTTTTACTGAAGAATCGAGATCCCACCATATATAAACACAACGACCAAGCAAAATGACAACAGATCAAAAATCCAAATCCATTATATATAACCAACCAAGTGCTCAATGACAAAATCTTATATCACTAAAAACATAGAACAAAGAAATACAACGATAGAGCAGTTGATGATTACAAACTTCTCCTCAGTAAACAGCACACATGATGACTTGTTAACGGCCACAACTATGTAAGGATGACAGTAATACACTGCAAAAATATTCAACTCATTATAATTAAAGTGTGGAATTAAAGAGACAAATTAAAGCCTACCCATGCCAATGGCAGAAATTTGGAGTCAACTTACCAATATGCCTAGAGACCTTGTTCAACAAGATAGTCACCCAACCTTTCAACAATCATATTGCACTGTCCAGGAGTCATCGGCTCATCATATATTCCAATGATCAAAGCCTGGTTGGTCTTCTTAATGGTGATACCACCTGGACCCTGAAAATAACAACCACATCCAGACTGAGTCACCACTCACATTACAGAGAACAAATTAATTTGTTGGTAAACAAACACTCCCTTTGAATAATGAACATTAAAACAGAAACCAAAGGCCCTCAAGCTCCCCATTTCCAAAGGATATCATTTAGTTCATTACTGTGACCAAAAGATACTTGGGAGGATGATTAATTATTTTAACATTCAAGGGAAGTTCTTATATAAGCTTGTATAATCAAATGGGAGAAGGGATAAAGATTTGTCCAACCCCAACAGGTCGTTCCAGCAACTCAACAAAGCCCAAGTGAGTTAAAGCATTAAAACCTTTTTTTGAAAAAAACAACGATCATGTACCTTCTTCCCTCGGATCACAGCTCCTGGCTCTCCTTGAATCACCATGTATTTTGTTCCCCCAAGATACAAACCAGTTGGAGCAAGTGTTCCAGGTTCCGCAAAGTCATTCATGATGCCTGTTATTTCTTCGGGCTTGAACTGCCATAAAACATGTATCAAAGTTCAACAAATAATTCAATAATAGACAATTTAAAAACAACAAATGATCATGTGTCTCTGAAAAAGAAAAATTAGCCTCTTCCACCCATCCCCTCATTACTCACCATGCTTCCCAAGGGAAATGGTGGTGGGCATAGAGGGAGGTGGCTCTACTGCTAGGATTTCAACTTTATCGGTTTTAGAATGAAGATAATTGGGTAATTAATTTTGATATTTGTACATATTTAATGAATTTCTTAAAAGAAATATATTGTTTGTGAAAGTCACTGGATTCGGACAAACCCATATTTGGACTTCTACGACTGACCTCAGGCACGCAGTTTAGTAAAATGAAGAGGAGATAACAACTATGAAAGGAAATAGGGAAAAACAGAGGAAAACACAATTTAAATTTTCTACATTAGAAGCACTTAATTTACCATTTAAAACAACCACATTTATAATATGTAATCTTCACACTAGCATAAAACAAATCGAGAACAACAATCATCATGAACGCAAAGTTTCTAACTATTTAGCTAAGCTGCTATAGCTGTAACCTAAAACTTCATCACAATTAATCAGAAATTATATCCCCTTTCTGAGATCCCCATTGTTCCGAGCCAAAAGTAAAGGGGGAAATCTGTTAAGAACTGGAGGTTTTCGAATCAGACTGGCCCTCACAATAAAAGTTTAACTGGAGAGAAATAGTTCTCGAGTTCTACCTTTACATTTTGTTCCCTTTGGCTTGCTATTCTCTTTCACATCGATCTTCTACTCTTCTTTGGGCCACATACTCGCATCTTCTAAATTAACCTTTCAGACAGGTAAAGTTCTCACCATTTTTTCTAATTATTCGACATGTTCTTCATGAGACCATGCACTCTCAGAAAAATAAAAATGGAAAACCAAGGGAAGATAGGTTCAACACCTTGTTGGGGACACCACTAATAAGCTCCACCAAATAGATATGGCTCTTAACAGTAGGTTCAACCAGATTAAAGCTCATAGAAGCTTTACTAACTATAGAAATAGGAGTAAATGAAAAGCCTGAAGTTTTTTTACCTCATTCAAAGTTAATTCCTCTCCATATTGTACACAATTTTACATCTCAGTCTTCACAGAAGGTCACAATTCCCATACATTTCCTGATTTCCTTTGATAATGGTGGTGTTTGGCAACATACGCATCAATTATTTCACCGATAAATTGTTATCCCTCACTCGCACATATACCAGGTAGTTATATCCACCAAGCCATAGGCTGATGGGAAATTTACTGATTTTCTTCTATAGGTTTTAAGCACCCAAGGGCTCTAGAAGAGCCAAATAATCCAATATTCCTCCTTACCATGCTTCCAAAATTCTGAGGTACACAAATATCAATAAACTATATGAATCCTCTCTATCCATTCTGTTCTATTCAGATCTATTTAATTCCAATATAAAATAATCATCTAACACCCTTCATTTATCCTATCTTAAGACTCTCCCAAAAAAAAATTAATAATAAAAACACCAAAATCTTCTCCCATAGACATCGGGATATATCTGTTTTCATGCTAAGTTCACCAAATATACAACAATTCAACAAAACCACGACTTCCCACTTCATAATTCTGACCTTACAAAGTAAAACATCAACAAAATTCTGAAACCACTTGAATCTGAGTTAGAGCAAAAAACAAAAGGAACCCAGATGAAATCTAGCAAAATTAGAGATGGGTATAGAATAAAACCTGAGGGAAATTGGCAGATTGAGCCCAAACAGTTCCGTCCTGGCCAACAATAGCAGCAGAAGTGAGATGATTACCTTCAATCTCACAAAGCAAGTGCTCATCAACATATGTTTGCCAAGACATCTTTGATTCAACCCAAGTTTCAGCTTCAGTTGCTTCTTCAAAGTAGCTCTGAATTCAAGATCTATGGTTCAGTGAAAATGGTTGATAATGGCTTTTTCTAGAAGTTGCGTTGATGTTAAGCTCATTAATGTAAATGGTCAATATTTTTCTTTTTTTCGTGTAGATTGAATAATTAGAAGATTCGGACAATTATAAAAATCTCCTTTTGACTAAAGTATGACTATTGTTTAACATGTTTTGAGCATATACGGTTATTATTTTAGTAAAATGTAACATGAAAGTTGTGAGTATAAGAAATTTTTTATAAAATAATATATTGTGGATGTCCACTACATTTAGGGTTGCGCATCGGTCGGTTCGGTTCGGTTTTAGGTGTTATTGGTTCGGTTTATCGGTTTTCGGTTTGTAAATACTTCAAACCGATTATTGTGGAATCTATTTTATATATTACTTGTGAACAAGGTGAATGATTAATATTATTGTTACTGTGCATTTTTCAACTATGCCTATATATACTTTCTTTTGTATGTGAAATTTGTTTTATATTTTATTTATGATTATGCTCATTGTTTTGGTTATTACATAAGCTTTTAATTTATTTTGTTTTGTGTGTGAAATATTTTGGGTTCACATGGAAATTGAAAAAGAGGTGGTAAAATGTTAATGGTCAATTGTGGTAATTAAAAGAAAGAACATTATGGGTTCTTAAGATGGTCCTTCAAATGTGAAGGTAAGTTTTGGCCATCAAAGTGGTATGAAAAGTTATTGGGCACATTGAGTTGGTGCAACCCAATTTGAAAGTTTTTTAAATCCTCCATTAAAATAAAGAAATACAAAGTGGTAGTATATTTAGTACTTTTAAAGTGATGTTGAGGTGGGTCAAATAAATTTGATAATGTCAAAGTATGACTAATAAAAACTTATGGAGCATGTACAAATGGTTATGGTCATTTCTTGAAGAGAATGTGACGTGTGTTCGTATGGATAAGGACATGTTCATGTATGGTTGGATAATTGCCACATCTCACCTCTACGGGAGGTTTGAGATATTGAAAAAAAATAATATATTTTGAGATAAATAGTCATTTCGGTCATATACTTTGAGTACTACACAAATATTGTGGTATGTTTTATTATAAACTATTGTAGGACAAAAGAAAGAAATAATTCTTTTCTATAAAGGTTATGGTCATGACCAAAATAAATGTTATTGTGCGGGAACACAAATTTGTCATTGGTTGTCAAGAAATAAGTCTTGCAGTAATAATTTTAACCATGACAATAATAATAATTTTCTCCTTGAAGGAGATGGTCACCGTAAGAATGGTGTTGTGAAATTTGTGGCATTACACAAAATTAATTGAAAGTTTCGGAAGGACTAATTTGTTACTATCCAGAAAATGAAATAGTTCATAATATTGAGGTTGTAGTAAGTCTCAAAAGAAACTTTTTAAGTTTCAGAGGAATTGAAAAGAAAAATTGTTATATTGAGACTGTAAATTATTGAAAGATTAAATATCTTCAAATTACTACAATCAAAGCGGGTTATGAATATTTACATAAAAGGTTGCCCGTCTTTCTCTTGTTTGTTGAATAAAAATATGGGCATGATGAAGGAATCACATGCAAAAGTAAACTAGAAGTTTACTAGAATAAATATATGTTGGCATAACCGGTTGACCATTTCGGTTCAAATGTGATGCAAAAGAATTGAGAATTCATGTGGTTATATGTTGAAGAAATAAAAGATTCTTCAAGAATTCTCATGTGTTGCTTGTTTTCATGATAAAATGATCATTGTACCAACTAAGGTTGAGATTGTATCCCCTGAAATTATTTGGAACATATAAAAAGGTGAATATGGGCTCGTTCACTTGTCATGTGGACCACTTACTATTAGATTTAATAGATGCATCTATGGTATGGTCACATGTGCATTTGTATCAACTTACAAATTGGTTTTTGTAAGGTTGTTTGCTCAAATTGTTAAATTAAGAGCACAGTTCCAAACTATAAAATTGTGTTGATAATACTGGTTGGTCTAGCTATAATTGGTTGTAACGTGTATGCATCAAGCCAACAAGGTTCTCCCATCACAATTGGTTCAGGGTCAGGAACCAAATAATTTCCATCTAAAAATTTAATGTGTGCACATATGATTTTATTGCTCCACCACGCACAAAGATGGATCCCCAAAATGAGGTTGGGGGTAAATGTTAGATTTCCTAACATTAGGGGGATATATGTTTAGCAGCTGAAAATTATGTGTGGGGTGAATTATCTAGATCCTCGTTAAAAAAAAATGTGAACTTGAAGTTCAAGAGATAATTCATTTGCAAAATGTTGCAAATAATTTGTCTGATGTATTTACTGACCCAATATTTTAATTAAGTTGCAAATGCTCCAGTAAATAGTCCTTGAAGGACAGAGTCTATGGTACGCCAGAAGCGTGATAGATCAATCGATTCCAAACATAAAACTCCTTGAGGAAGGAGAGGAGAAAACTATCAAAATGGTCATGATAATGAGGTAAATGCTTTGAAAGAGTACTATGACATAACACTTCATAAAACCTTGGCAAAGGTTCATGTACCTGAAAATGATGAAACATGAAGAGATCTCGATAAGTTATGTCGTATTGGAATCGAATCAAAATGACAGTCGACTATATCTTTGATATGAAGTAGCACTCAATGCTATAAATGATTACGAGGATCTTAAATTTGAATCTGTCATATAATATGGACAGTTAAATGATTGGCCAAATAAAATGCACTATTCAAGTATATTTTGTTTCACTTAGAAAAGTGATGTTTTTGAACTTATAGTTCATAGATCAAAATATATGTCAATGGGGGTACAAATGAATCATTGTGCAAAAGTATAACCGTAAGATATAAAGTACGGTTTGTGTCTCGGGGCATAAAGAATTTTCGCAAAAATCCTGACATTATTAAATGGAGATATATTCTTCAATGGTGGATGCAATGAGACTTGTTTCAGTCTGGCAATAGATGAAATACTTGAATATGCATAATGATTATTATGTCTAACTAGACGATGAAGTTTTATGAAAATTCTTGAAGGATTTAAAATGCCTTAAAGCAATTCCATTGAGTACCCAATGGTTTTGAGATTGCTTAACACAGAGAAAGAATCTTTTTGATCTCATGAAAATGATTTAAAATGTCATGTATTAGTGCAATTGGTGCACTTACAGATTGATGGTTATGCAAATGCTAGAAGATTATTTGATATACATATAAAAAGTTATGTGAGGGGATTGCCATATTATCATTCAAGTTATGCCAAGAAACTAACAAAGAAAGTGACTCAACACATAGAAGATGTGTGATTTATTTTTGAGAAGAAAAGACGAGCAACGTATAAAATTGAAATGATCAATCTCTGAGTTAGAAATGATTTGATTATGTAGATGCAGAATATTTATTTGATCTGCATAAAGCTCGATCGCAAATGAGCTATTTGTTTACATATGGAGGCACAACAATATCTTGGCATTCAAAGAAACAAACATTGGTAACCACTTCTTCAAATCATATAGAAATAATATTGATCTATGAAGTAAGTCGGGAGTGTGTATGGTTGGAATCATGATCTATCATATTCAAAAAACATGTGATTTTCCTTTGGCAATGGATATTCTAACCACCATCTACAAAAATAATATATAGCTCAATTGAAGGGAGGATACAATCAAAGGAGGTCAGACAAAACATATTTCACCAAAAGTATTTTTCACACATGATCTTCAACAAAATGGTGAGATAGACGTTCAAAGACCCATTCAAGTGATATCTTGTAAACTTATTCACTAAGGATTGCCAACATTAATATTTGAGAAGTTGTGATATAAGATTGGAATGCATCGTCTCCAAGATATCAAGTAAAGTTTTTATCAGGGGGAGAAAAATATGTGTTGTACTCTTTTCCTTAACCATGGTTTTATCCCAATTGGGTTTTCCTGGTAAGATTTTTAACGAGGCAACATTCAAAGCGTATTAAAAGATATGTGTACTCTTTTTCCTTCACTAGGATTTTTTCCCACGGGATTTTTTCCTAGTAAGGTTTTAACGAGGCATATTATCTATGGACATCCAAGGGGGGGTGTTATAAAATAATATATTGTGGATGTCCACTACATCAAGAAGTTACTCCATACTTTCCTCCATTATGAAGATAACCATAACCTCCATAACCTCCACCTTTATAACCATTATTCTTGTAACCTTTCACTTCCATAACCTCCCCATTATATTCATGTTAATGTCATGTTTATGACTAACCTTTTGTATGCCTCTATGTTACACTATAAATAGAGGCATAAGGGTTCATATTGTACATATACACTTGAAGACTTTGAAGAATAAGAAATACTCTCATATCTTGTCTCTATATTTCTATTGTTTTCATCTTCTATATTTCTTGTCTTATTTTGCTTTAGTTTTACAACAAAAAATGATTTTTAGCGAGGAAAAAAATGTTTTTAAAAGTTTAAAATTGATTATTATAGGTTATTAATAGCTAAAAAGAATGATTGTTAAAGAATTTTTAACGATAATATGATTTTAATCCTTAAATGTTTTTTTAGCGGTACAAATTTTCGTTCATTAATTAGTCATTAGGTCGTTAAAAATCTTACCAATAATAACTAATTTGATTTGTACAAGTACTTTTTACAATTATAGTTCTTTTTGATAATTTTCAATTATTTCAATATCAATATCTTTAACGATAAAAAAAAAAAATTCTCTCTACTGTCTATATAAATATTAGATAAATCAATCATAAAAGAATTTTAAAGATCATATTCTCGTATGCTATTTTACAAAAATATTTACTACTAAATGCTTAGTAATTACTATTTTATACATACTTGTACAGTAAAAAAACATACTAATTCATGCTTATATATACCTTCCACATGTACGCTATTTCAATTATAATTTCTCTTCGAAATCTAGTAAATTGAGGGATTCTCTTGCACAAGAGCCCAAGTGAAGAATTGAGATTTTACTTTGACCTCCATGCATGGTTTGTTAATCAATTCAAAAGATATTTTATAACTTGAACACGTAAAAATAAATCAATTTCATACGTAAAGTTAG